ATTTACAACGATTCACGCACTTTACTTATGGTCACTACCGCTCACTTGACTCAATTATCTGTCTCTTTATCTCTCTTCAATCTCCTATTATTCATGCAGTCACTCTCCCTCTCCGCTTTATTTGCCGGACTTATATACAAAATAGAGGGCGTCTGGCAAACACTAAAGTTGCCAGGAACAGTTATGATCCTTCTAGAAACTCATGACGTGTTACCAGCGTCACGTGACTTCCGCTGTCGTAACAACGCTATTTTACTTATCCTCATCACTTGAGTTTAAAAAGTATTTCGTGTGTACAATGTGTAGTGGTGATGAAAGTATCGGTCACAGCCCTTTTTGTTACCAGAATTTAACATTTTGACTGTTTTCGACAAGGATTCATGCAAACAAATTTGTCTTATTCAATATTTGAATATTCTTTTTTTATTATTAATAAAGTGCAATATTTTAAGACTGATAATTATAATTAGACGGCCGTAAGGAAGACGTAATCGGACTGTTGTTTCAAACATTAAGCCATGAGTCTGTTAATCAATAGTTAATATGTTATTACGTCACAATAAGAATTGTTATGACATCTGTCTTTGCTTACTTAATACAGATTTCCAGTAACAAGTGTGTTATAATAGCATTTCAATCATGAACTTTACGTGTTGGACGCCACTGCTGAAAAGGGCTTTTGCTAAATACCAATGTTCCTCAGATTGGCTGAGTTTACAACACAAAAGGCTTCGTTTAAGTACTAATTAATTCAGTCATCTATCTTGATCACATCCTTCTTTACTTACCCTATATGAATTAACAGAAGAAAAAATAGTATATAATTTCTTTTATCTACACACACTTTTTCAACACTGTAGGCGTTATACATTTTAAATCTAATAAATATCAAATATAAATAGTGTCACAATTGATGCTTTATGTGTTGTAACCCAGCCGACCTTATGAACTCTGGCAGTTGGCGAAGGGTCTCATCATCAACGTGACGCAACACTCAAGGTGGGCATGTGCAGTTTGACTGCAGTAAAAGTAGTTCTTACTAACAATCCTTACAGAAACAATAGATATATATGTGATTAAAATTACTTATTGTGATATCATAGCACAACGAACACAGAACCACAGATCATGGTTTCGTTAGTTTAGGTGTTTTATATCATAAGATGAAACTATGATTCTAGCTGTATTCTACATATTTTGATTCTCATTTCCTCCTCAAATGGTCTCAAACAGAGATTTATTTATTTCTGTATTTAAAAAGAATAAATAAGTAGCTGGCAGAAATAAATTATAGATCTGACACCTTAGGAAGGTAGGAGCTGATCACTTGTGTATGACACTTTTCCAAATATCTTTGGTGTTTCTTGTGACATTCAATCACTGACATTTTATTCTTCTGTCCTGTCGAATCATCTTTTAATGTTGTTGCTTATCGTTCCGGGCTACGGTCGGAAGGTACAAGGTTCAAGTCACAATTGCTGCTAAGAAGTTTTGCATTTCCAGCTATAGAAGTATTGTAACTGTGACACTCAATTATATCATTTGATTAAGAGCAGCGATATAGGCAGAGGACACTGTTAACTTGTTGTCTTCCTTGATATCAACAGTTTTAAATTAGGGATAACTATGCCTGATCTTTAGGACTTTGGTTAAGCCTTTTAAGATACTGATCAAGCTGAAAATACTAATACCCACAATTGCTCTTTGTACAAACAAATGGAAAATCAACGTTACCTTCACTAGATAGATAGACAGACCAAAACCAAAATTAATTCAAGAAGAATAAACAAAAAATGAAATGTCAAATCGTAATCTTCTTCGTTTGCTATTACATGCCTCCCAGTGGCACAGAGGTAAGTCTGCGGATTTATAACACTAGAAACTGGGTTTCGATACCTGTAGTGGGTACAGCACATATAGCCTATCGTATAGATGTGTGCATAACTACAAACAAATCGCCATTACCTAAATAAATCTGTACCAATTTTATAATTTCAGTGTTTAAATCTACCCAAATTAGAAAACAGAAACTTGAAACTGAGTTTTAAGTATTAAGGCAATTAATATTTGATGACACACAAATATATATCCGAAATTATACATTAAAATGTTAAAACAGTTAAACTTTAGAACAACCCTTATTTTAATCTCCCCTAAAATATCACAAAATTACATAGGTTTTTATAAAAATCACCTTGCTTTTAATTAACCAAGATTCAAATGTTTACTAACAATTTTCAGAATCCTGGACATGAGCGTAGGATTTTAATTAATCATGTCTGATTTGTAGATGTTTTGAGTTTTGAAATGTATGCAGTAGAAAGTAGATTCCAAGTTGCTACGTCCGATCATGCTCTCGCTGATGGTCGTAGATTTAACGCAGTTTAAATTGCAAAAGACTCCATTGTAAGGTTATGCAAGGCACACCACTCCCAACTATTTGCTTTCCATAATCCATCTAGGGTACAAGGATAATAGTTTCTAGCGCTTGTTACAACTTGTCCCATCGTAAAGAAATCAATATAGTGCAGTGACGGAGGTTTTACTGGCATGTCTTCAGATTGAATGAGAATGTTACAGTTCAACGGATATGTCGTGGAAAAAACTTGTCTGCACGTGGATTATGCTGCTTTTTTTAGATGGAGATCCTTCTTGATTACATTGTGTACTGTTGCCTGTGGTAAATGGACAGCTTTATATTTGTGGATTCTTACTGTTGCATGAAGCCACGCTTTGATTAACACTCCTGGGTTATGACTTGTTGCAAGTCTCGTTCTGGATAGCTCTAGGATCCAAAGTTGAACCATATTCCTCTGTTTTCCAATGTCTAGAAAAATCTAAATTCTTTATCTGAACACATATTTATCATCTGAGCGTATGGATATTTGCCATCGTAAAGCATTGTTGGGTCAATTTTCGATGGCATCACACAACTCATGAACGCTGTTGGTTGTCACGATCCTTGCTGACTTGCATATTCAAAATCATTTAAATATAATGTAATCAACCCTCTATGTTACTTGGGGAACTTAGATATTATGTCAGAAGGATTTCAGAGACTTGAATGTCTTGAAAGATAGATCTAAGAAATGATCAATGCAGATTTTGTATAGCATATGGTCTAAAAATGTAGTTACGCAGAGAAAAAATATTCTTTTTAAAAAATTCATTTAGTGCGCAAGTACTTAAAATAAGGTTTTCTTTGGGTTTTTTTCATTTGCCCTTAGATGAAAATAATAAAGTTCAGTTTGTGTTATCAACTAAATCTTGCACACAATGATAAAACACGTTTAACTGCTGAGTAAGACCAAGCTTGTGTGTTTCTGCAGTTTTTATACGACTAGTCTGAAGATTAAAAGAATGTCTGGATGAAATATGTTCTATTCACAAAATATACATTATATTAACAAATTCATTTTAATAATCTGTCTTTTTATTAGTGACTCATAAATACTTGGATTGAAAATTGCAATATTCAGAAATTTTTACCTAAAACCTTTTAACAGTGAATTCAGTGATAAACGCTTTGGAATACGTGAGTTTAATTACAAACGCTTACAGTCGAAATGATAGCACCATCGTAGCCAACAAATGGATCATTCAACTAATCAACAACATCCCCAGTGAGTTCTTCTTCTTTGTGGTTACAACATCGGTCAACCCCACACCCCAGACATTTACTGACCCGAAAGATCTGTTTAACATCAAGGGCTTCAGACCATACATTGACATCTGTGTACTCTCCATCAAACGATTGATCTAGTGATAATCCACCACCAGGATATGATTGTTCTTGTCCCAGACTCAGAGTCCCGCTGGCCTGCACCACCTTCCCCACAGCGAATCCTGTTACTGTTTTATCACACGAATCCTTATGAGGGTTTACATATACCTGGGCTTGACCATCCACAGAGCGCCATGTGTAACATACATGATGCCACTCACCAACTATGGATGATGGGCACTTAACAGCAAGGCGATTGGATGTTTTGTGAATATATAAGCCCACAAACGGATGACCATTGATTGAGGGTTCTACAAAGGTCAGTAGTTCATTGTGAAAGCGCTCGGTAGCATAAGAGAAGGGATATTCAGTTTCACTTCCAATTTTCATTAATTTTATCCAGTAGTAAACCATAAATTCTGTTAATTCATCTTTATAGCGTTAGTGCGAATAAATGCAGGAAGCTTGTTTTTAGTGGAGCCCATTATTTTAAATTTGTACATTGATTTCCCTTGTCTGGCAGCAGTGACCGCGTAGCTCGTCAAGTAGGATAAAAAAGCTAAGCCTATAAGTCTTCATAGCTACCACCACAGAGTAATCGTCTAAGTACTGCAGAGGTCTTCAGACTGGTAGTGTACAGAATGAAAAGATAGGACTGAAATGGCCACCTTATATGTTTATAATGTAGAGGTACCTTCTGTAAACACATGTGACCAGACAACATCAACCAATCGTCGTAGGTTATTGTATACACTAACCAAGAACTCTCATCTGAAACAGTTCTGTGTATAATTATCAGAGAATGGTGAGAACAGCAACAGCACTTATCTTCATCAGTATGTGAGTTTTGTTCCTATATCAGAGAATGGTGAGAACAGCAACAGCACTTATCTTCATCAGTATGTGAGTTTTGTTCCTATATCAGAGAATGGTGAGAACAGCAACAAAATAATGCATGCACTTATCTTCATCAGTATGTGAGTTTTGTTCCTATATCAGAGAATGGTGAGAACAGCAACAGCACTTATCTTCATCAGTATGTGAGTTTTGTTCCTATATAGATAAATCAATTTATCACTATATATATATACTTTTGTCTTTCTCTTCATAAATATTCATTCTTTTGTAGTGGAGACTGAAAGAAGATTGAATCCAAGAGACGCCATATTGGTAAACTCGTCGCTGAGGTAACGCGTTCTCGTAGCTTTTCCAAAGTGCTTATATTTATATATATATATATATATCTGTTTGGCGTTCTATTGCTTTAATTATTAACTTCTGATCTAAAATATATTCCTAGTACTGAGCATAGCTAACTAGTATGTTTTCTTGACTACCTGTGCACGTCACACTGGTGAAGAAAATACAGCCTTAATTTAAAAATTTAGTTTTATTTCACCTGTACTTGTTAACAAAGGCTTCTCGACTAATACATTTTGAAGTTTTCCTATTTCAGTCTCAACCCATATGTAATTTTTCTCTCTTTAGCCATAGCATCACTTAAGATCATTCATCTTGTCACTTCTACATTACTCAACTTACTTTACAGCAGGGATCTAATTAATTTAACAATATCAAAAATAAGATAGTCGAGGAACTACATAAATTTACAAAAAGTGCATCAAGTAATCTTATTTTACATCAACTATTCCTTATGCACGTGAACTTACTAACATTATTTTTCGAGATTCTTTGAATTATTTTTATTAAAGTTGGACGATTTTAACCTCATAGGCCTTTTCATCACTACCATACAGCACATGGATTTAATGGATTATGCATGTCAGTTATAAAGTATATAAACTCACCTAAAATCTTTGCAAACAAAATTTTTGCCATTGTCAATCACATTAACCACTTTTCGCCCATTTCTACTACCGTTTGGGGGCGCGACCGATTAAGGTAGAGTCAGTAGTGCAATAATACAAAATTATACGTTTTAATTCATTCTTTATTAATCCAAATAATAAATAATTACTACAACACATAACATTTTAGTGTGTATTCGTGTATTATATTTCGTTCACTTAACTCACTCTTTCACTTCCTTAAAAAAATAAGAGGGAGACACCCAAGAAACCATATTTATTAAAGGGTTGGGAGCGTGGATGACAAAAGTTTGGGAAACGCTGATTTAAGCTGTAATGGTATTGTTGCGTCATCGAGATCATGTGATTCTCACGCCCTCTCGTTTCTAGAACTATCCCGTATCTTGGCGAATGCTCTAGTATTTGCTAGATAGGGTAGGCTGGTATATAAAAAGAGGGGTAATGTAATGTGTGTGTAGACAGTGAGTAATTGATCTGCAGTCAGAAGTATTATTGACGTTCGTTGTATAGCGTTGTTTAGCGCGATTGTTGAAGTTGAGTGTATCGGTAAAGTTGTATTCGGAAAGAATAAACCAGTTTTATTAAGTAAAGACTTGTGTCGTTAAAGTTTCGTCGGAACGAAGTTACGGAAAATCAATTAACAAACAGAGACGTAACAATACTAAAAACAGGTCAAACGTATATACTGTTAGGTTATAGTATTTTGGCAC